ATTTTAATTTATTAGCTACGTGACTTTTTTCTATTGCAAAACCGGTTATTAACTGAATAAACAACATGCGTCACATAAAATGCGTGAGCACGTATATGAAACCGACAATTGATCTCGATGACAACTTTAAAGTTGATTTAAAAATTAAAAAAGTCAAAGCAATAAAAGTTGGTTTCATAACGTGAAAACAGCAATCACGCAATCAAATAAATAAATTGATAAATAAATGTCTATTCCGCACATCATTGTGTACACAATAAGTAAATATAAGCCACGTGCTCATAAAATAAATATTAAATGGTCGCAATTTAATAATATATTCATACAATTATATTTATCTGTGTCATTGATTTATTATCATATGAAATCGTATAATTTTTTTTTTAATAAAAGTCTAACAATTTTTTTAATAATATTGTGATTATATCGTTTATTTTTCTGCTAGCTAAGAGTTTAGATTATTAGTGGCAAGGATAATTTTCCCAGTCATTACGTTAACTTTTAAGATGTTATCATATGCGCAACTACTTATCATTCGTAACAATATGCATTCCTGATGTCACTTCGTCACGCTTCTCTGGTTTGCATCTTATTATAAATGACAATGTAATAATACGTATGCGCGGTAACGGAAAACATGCATATTGTGCAGAATCATGATTTGACTTTACATGCGGAATAATAATAATACAGATATAAAGAATAATAATATAAAATACTTAATAATAAAGAAAATGATTGCGTTAAAGAGAAATAATGAAACATACATATAATACATATAATAATAAAATATACACAGTAGAAATGTTTTTTTATGCAAAATTGTCACAAAAAATAGTAATTGTAAGTTAATTTATGAATAATAAACAATATTTGAATAAAATCAATAACTCAATTTACGTTTATTTTCATTTTTTTATTAATAGCAAATGATAAATTATAAGATGCAATAAAATGACATAAAATTATAACTAAAACATTGACGTTTTAATATCAGCGATTTCTGAGTATCAGCTTTTTTTATGTATGCAAAAAGGTATATTAACTTAATGTTATTGAGAATTAATTATTCGCAAACATCACAAATTGTATAGTTACAAATATCAGAGTCGACATTTTATCTCCTACATAGCTTTAAAATTTTGTGTTACGTGACATTTATAAAGTTTACTAATGAGTGCATCTGTAATTGTCTCCATTGAAAAAGTTATCTCAGGTAATTAAAATTGCTTGGAAATTTTTAACTCATGAGTCTGTTTTAAGATTTAATTGTCTATAACAACTTCAGTAAAAAATAATATTACGAATTAGTTAATTTTAATTATTTTTTATATGTTAGAATATTGTAATACATTACATAATGTTATGCGTCTCACAAGTGCTTGTTTGAGATTTTCACAATTAAAACTGAGACTTATCAAAATCACTTTGTACAACACAATTTTTGTTACACATAACATTTGATGTAATATATTTACTATTATTTAATTAAGTACACCTAAGTAATTATTCGCGGTAAACTAATATTACGCGTAAACACGCATCTAACCTCAATACATCTGATTTCATAAATAATCTTATTTTATCTCTAATTTAAATATTATTGTTGACATTCTAGAGAAACGTTTCGTAAGTTAATATTGCATAAATACAAAAAATGTATTTATGCAATGTTACTCGGAATAATTAGAGAGAGTGCCGCGTAGTCACGTCAATACAATTTAGCAATTGATGAAAATTGAAATAAATAATGCATGCATCTTGCGTACGTCTACGTAACTAATGTCATATTCAGTAGCAAATGCGTCATTAACACATTCGATATTGTGTTCTTAAACGTGCAAGTCATAGCTTCATTTACAAGTTATCTATGCAGCATTCATAAATGATGAATTAATTTATAATTACAATTAGAATCTCTGAGTGTTTCCTGCCTATTTGCGTATGATTAATAGCCTTTAACTACAGAATAATCATTTACATAATGTGCGTTTTAGACGAATCATCGTTAATATGTACAGTAATTATCTTTAAACTTTATTACGCATTTATTGTGCGTTATTGTGCGCAGTTATTGTGCGTTATTGTGCGCAGTTATTGTGCGAGATATAATAACATAGTAAACTAAGCTATAAGTGCTCGCTTACTATGGCGCGACGAAGAAAAGAGAATTTTTATCTTCGCCTCGTACCAATGAACGGTGATTAGGAGAAACAAGGAGTCAAAATATTGTTACCCTTTAAACATCTTTAGATATATTATCGGATGAACGTTATTTCGCTAGATAGAAAAGTCACATACTCCTATTGTTCTTATTGTGATTATTATGTGTGCTGTTTGTTGTCTCTTGAAGTCTTTTATTTTAAAAGCTTTATGTTGTTCACATTTAACAAATACTTATCAGTACTTATCAGTACTTATCAATAAATAAAGACTCAAATTGTTTAATTGTTTAATTGTACAATTGTTCAATTGTATTATTTCATGCAATTTTAATATTAAACTTGAAGTTATTAATAAAATAATTTATTTTTTTCAGAAACACTTATAAACTTTTTGTTTTATTTTTCTCCTCGTCCTCCATACTGGCAATAAGACTAATTGTAAGCACAAGAAGATCCTTGTCGGATGAACCACTCATTCTCATTAAAATTGCCCCCCCCCCCTCCCAGTTCTGTCACTATTTATAGAACAACCTTCCGCAACAATAAACTCTGCACTGTAGTGACTGTGGCATACAATGCATGAAATTCATTGAGTGTGCGTGCATAATCTATGCCACGAGATTTCTCTTTACCTCGTCATACTGGGCGGACTCCTGAAACGACGCTTTTCTTCTCGTCGCCTCGCCACAGTCGATGAGCATTTGAAGAGTAATACAAATAACTATTTTTTTTCTTCATGCCTAATTATGAAATAATGACGATATCTTTCACTATCTATGCTCACACAGCACACATATCCAAAAGATGTCCAGAAAATCCCGCAGATATCTTTGAGAGATACGATATCTTTGGGATGTCCTCTGAACATCCCCCGAATATGCATGTTGTGTGGGTGATTTAACTTTACTTGCGGAACAATAAGAAATACGTACTTAAACATTAGATAATTAAGAAATTTTATTAATTATATTAAATGACGGTAATTAGATTTATAGATTAATATCAATAATAAATAGAAATATTTTTTTAAATATAAAATTGTCGACAAAAATGACAACTGTGGACGCGTATTAAATATCAAAGAAAACAATAAAAAATGTTAGAATGTGAATAGTAGTAGTAGTGGTTTTGTCACATATAATATTCTACAATGTCTCGTCTATAGAATATTAGAGATAAATAATAACATAAATAAATATAGATAAATTAATAACAGGATTTATATTAACATAACGTTTTTACTCATAAATTCAAAAATTAATTATAATATCGTCTATATATATCGTCAAAATTGACTAGTCAAAATAGACTATAACGATTCAAAATAATGTATTTAATTATAATTGCTACATATACTAATAGCACATGGTATTATTATACAAATAATTATATACTGCAGAATAATTAAACATTTAAGCTATTATGCTACTAGTGGAAAAAATTAGATAAAGCAAAAATTATCTTCGCTGTCTTCTAACTTTGCAATTATAGCAAGAAACTATTATAAAAAGCATGATTGAATTAAAATGTCGATAGATAATGCAAAAATAATAATCCAATTAATATACAATTAAGAATATCATATTTGTATTTTCTCTCATAATTTCTAGATCTCATTTCCTTAGATCGTATGTTTTCTATGTTTTTAGAAATAATGCTGAGAACGCATAAAAATAGTCTCTAAACGCAATCTTACGCATGATAACTTCTTGCCATGCAGTTACTTTCCGCAATCAAAAATTCTAATGGTAATCGGAATCGATAATTATGTAATCGTTCGTTTCTGATGAAATAGAAACTGTAACTAAACCAAAACTTTATAAAGTTTATAACAACAGAACCAAAACCCGGATAAATTATTTTCGGTTTACGATTTTTTTCAGTTTTTTATTCGATTCTAATAGTATAAGAATTCAAAAATAATGTAACTATTATTTTACATATTCCCACTAGAATTCGAGACATTTTTATCACATTTTGGAAGTGTTTTTTTATACCTTTTTTAAAAAAGGTTTTTTAGCTAAGTATCCAATTTTGCATGCGGCTGACGATTCATTTTCAATGTGTTTATGTCCTTGTTTGAATATATTACACTACTTAACATTTAAGATTTATCTCAATACGCGTCACTTTATGCTACTTCGAGCGGTTGTCATTTGCATACTTTGATAATTCATATATTGAAAAGATTGATGCAGGTATTTTTTTATTATTTTTGTGTTTTATAGAAAATATTCACATAGTGTCTTCTTAGATAGAATTATAATATATAATTCATTGAAAAGAAGAAATATCGCGCGTGTAACGCGCTTGTGTGTGTCAAGTCATTATAAAAAAAAATAGCACATAGATATAATTTCATTGTTACATTAACGTAATGAGGATAAACCGGCAACATATATAATTCAACACGCAACACTCTTAACTCAAGTGTTTCAAGTGTACAATCTACACCAATGTTGCTCAATCTTTTTGTATTTTTTTTTTAATAAACCAATCTCGTGATCTATCCATGTACAAGAAAAAAAAAATTAGAATGCAATTTCAACGTTTGTTAAACATATCAGTAGACAAATTAAGTGTCAAGATATAAGCAAATGAATAGGAACAAAATAGATATTAAAATAAGAAATATAAATTTTATAATAGAATCAAACAAAATAAAAATCAAAATATAAACAAGATCCATCAAGAAACACATCGCGATCGACCGATAGATCGCAATCGATTGGTTGGGCACCCCTGGACAATATTAATACTGCAACGTCGCCTTCTTATTAATTGACGAAAAGGAAAGAGAATCAAAGAGAGAGAGAAATGTGCATACACATAAATACAATGTCATGCTAGCTTCAGGAGCTCATTTCTTCACTATAACTCGCGGTAATTGTGCTACAAAAACTTTAGTTTCCAGACATTGTATTCTACTTGAACGGTAAGAATTAGCTACTAAATTTCGCCGTCAGATACACTCACTTCAGCACAATCTTTATGTCAATTAATTTATAATTAATTATTCGAGTGCGTAATAACAAATACATATGATCGAGTATTACCTAAAACATTTAGATTTGTGTTTTTTTTTTAGTTTTCTAAAATCATTTAACAAAATTTTAATAAATTTTTTATTCGTAAATAAGAATTTAGCTGATCTTAATATTCACATATTATATATTTTCTTTTTAATTTTTAATCTAATTGTGTCCGTGATATATTGAGGACATTGAATATATTCAATGTCCTCAATATATGTTCAATGTTTTATGCAAAATTGCGCATATTGAAGTATACTTCAATATGCGCAATTTTGCACAAAAATAATTTCAAGATGACATTCTTAAGATTAATTATTAAAAATTAAAAATGTATACGTTAAAAATGTATACGTTAAAAATGTATACGGGGTGTTTCATAATGTCCGTGCCAACGCTCGTGTGCGGATAGAGTGCGGTAAACTGAATAAAAAAGTCCTTTATCGTTTTGCAATTTTCGCAATAATAATTGAGATATTAATTAAAAAGAATTGACGAATAATCGCACGTTGCGCGTAACTAAACCGTGGGCTGTACACTCTAGGCGTGACAACAACGAGGATCGTTTGGCAATGAAAAGTAATAACGCATCTTACGCATGCCTAGAGCGTATAGCCTACGACCTAGCTTATATCAATCCTTTTTAATTAATATCTTAATTATTATTGCGAAAATTGCAAAACGGTGCAAAGAACTTTTTTATTCAGTTTACCGCACTCTATCCGCACACGAGCGTTGGCACGGACATTATAAAACACCCTGTATATATTGAATTAAATACAACAAATTTTTATTCTATTAGATATAAAAAATTTGACTCGTTTAAATTATATTTAATATTATGTTTTATCCAAAAAGTGTGACGCTGTATATCATAATGATTCAGTATCTAATAAAGTAAATCAGAGAAATGCAAAAAAATATATTTTGCAGATAAGTTGCCAAAAATGGCATTCATAACGGCACATTGGGGCCTGGATGGCATAATAGTTCTGACGACCCTTATGATAGCTGTCTATCTTTATATGACGCGCAAGCTTAACTACTGGAAAAAACGAGGTGTTACGGAAGTCGTATCACCAACACTATTTCTGGGAAACTTCACGGATTGCGTGTTGTTTAAAAAGTCTCCCGGATATTTGATAAAGGACTTTTATGACCGAGCAAAAGGACTGCCTTACGCAGGCTTTTTCATCTTAAACAAGCCCGCCTTGTTGATTCGCGATCGGGAACTCGTCAAGAACATTTTAGTGAAAGACTTCAGTAACTTTGAGAATCGATATGGCTCTCCAGATACGAAGGACCGCCTAGGTTACGCCAATCTCTTCTTTATTAACAATCCAGCGTGGAAGATCTTGAGATCGAAATTATCACCAATTTTCACATCCGGCAAATTGAAAAAAATGTTCGAATTGATGCTAGTCTGTGCTCAAAATCTTGACACGTATCTTGAGTCCTTAAAATTAGAAGGTAAGTATTACATAATTTGTGACATACCAAATGTGTAGACAAAGTAAATTTTACGATAATAATTGCAGCTAGACAACTAATTGTAAGGTTAATAATACGACGCGTCCCTCTTTATCATTATAAATTTACATATTTCGTTTGTAATAACACAAAAATATGAAACAAATGTATTTATTTTAGAAAAAATATATATTACATATTTTATTATTATTAATAATAAATTTTTTATGTTTTTTTATTAAATTGGTTTTTCTTATCATTCTTATATCATTCTTAGAATAAATAATATATATAAATCAAATTGGAATATGTTGATGGTAGGTAAAGGCAAAGAGCTAGAAACGAAAGACTTGGCCGCCAAATTCGCTACTGACATGATAGGCGTCACGGCTTATGGACTCAATGTGAACTCGTTAAACAATCCTGATGCTGAATTTCGAAGACATGGCAAGAAGATCTTCGAGTACAGCTACATCCGCGGATTTGAAATGCTTTCGATTTTTTTTTCCCAAGTTTAGTTCGTTGGACCCGTATGAGAGTATTCGGTAAGGATTCCAGTGTCTTCCTACGTAAAGCCTTCTGGGATACGTTACTTCAACGCATAGAGTCTGGCACAAAAAGACACGATCTCATCGATATTCTTATCGAACTCAAGAAGAATCATGTTGATCAGGATTTGAACGGAATTAGTAAGCAAAATGCGATAATTAATAGTATTTTAAATACGTGCACAAATTTTTTAGTTAATATTAAAAGAAAAGAAAAAATATAAAAATATCGTAATAATTATAATGTGTTTGTGCAACAAATCTAATAGACAAAATTAATCGTGATGAGTGATGCAAATTATTAAATATTCACTAATGTAAATTAAATTTTAGAATTTGATGGGGACGATTTAGTAGCACAAGCAGCAATTTTCTTCACTGGCGGTTATGAAACTTCTTCATCAACAGTGTCTTTCACTTTGTATGAGCTCGCAATGTATCCCGAAGTACAGAACAGACTTAGAAAAGAAATCCATAATGCACTCAAGGAAAATAATAATAAAGTAACATATGATATGGTATGTGAACAGCGCGGTGTTGCAAAGAATTTTTATACTGAATAAAATATGGATTTAAACGATGTTATAGAATTAATATTTCGTTTAAGAAGTGATTATTCTATGTATTAATTTACAAACTTTATGTGTAAAATAACACTTCTTTCAGATTATGTCACTACCGTATCTCGACATGGTAGTCTCGGAAGTCTTAAGGAAGTATCCGCCATTGCCGTTTCTAGATCGCGTGGCAGGAGACACCTATAAAGTGCCGGACTCCGATCTAGTTTTGGAGAAGGATACGCCGATTTATGTCTCAATGTTAGGTATGCACTATGATCCGGAATATTTTCCTGATCCGGATAAGTTTGATCCTGAACGATTCAATGAGGAAAACAAACACAATATACCTTCATGCGCCTATTTTCCGTTTGGAGAGGGTCCACGCATATGTATAGGTAAGATTAATTACACGACATTTACACAAGATATACAGGGTGTTCCATTTTAAAAACACTACGTGAATAACTTTTTAGAGAGACATTTTCAAGAAAAATTATTTAGACCAAAGTTGTTGGGTTTGGAGAGGGACATCCGATGATGACATTGGTTTAACCTAGGGTGTACATGCCAAGGTCATATGGAGGTCAACTTTGTTTTTTTAAATAAAACACCCTATTTTTGATTCCAAAATCTAATAGCTGGTGTCAAGAGCTTTTCAAAACACTATAATGAAGTTATTTTTTATTAAGTACTTTTCGAATTATAAGGCTTGTAAATTACAGTATTTTGACATAAAATATAAAATATCTTGTAAATATTCAGTTTTTGAGAATGTTACCTTAATACTTTTATGCACAAAATAATGAGACAAATGAATTGGTATAAAGAAAACACATTGGTTTTAAAAAAAAGTATGCAGTTGCATATTGCAAATTACATATTTTTTCTTGAAAGCAACTATGTGTTTTCTTTATACCAATTGATTCGTCTCAATATTTTGTGCATAAAAATATTAAGTAAGATTCCCGAAAATTGAATGTTTTACAAAATATTTTGTATTTTATGTCAAAATGCTGTAACTTTCAAGCCTCATAACTCGAAAAGTACTTAATGAAAAATAACTTCATTATAGTGTTTTGAAAAGCTCTTGACACCAGCTATTAGATTTTGGAATCAAAAATAGGGTGTTCTATTTAAAAAAACAAAGTTGACCTCCATATGACCTTGGCATGTACACCCTAGATTAAACCAATGTCATCATCGGATGTCCTCCTCCAAACCCAACAACTTTGGTCTAAATCATTTTTCTTGAAAATGTCTCTCTGAAAAGTTATTCACGTGGGGTTTTTAAAATGGGACACCCTGTATATACAGAATGTCCTATTTTAAATAATGCGCCCTAAATAGTGTAAAAACGTGATATTTTTGAGAAGAATATTTTTGATGAAAAAGATTGCGAAAAGAACATAGGATAGGAACTTTTTTTTAGTTTAATCTTAAGTTTTCTCCATCACGATCAAGTTAAAATCATTACTTTCATCTTAAATTCTTTTTACAAAAAATTTTTGTTTTTAAAATATAGATACAATATTTAAAATTGGACATTCTACATGCTAGACACGTATGAAATTAAAATGTATTTCTTAAACTTAATATTTAATATTTCTTAACTGCTGAACTAAACATGTGTTGATAATTGTACAATTAAAAAATCTTGTTTAAATTCTTTTAAAGCTGAATCTCTCGAAAGACATATTAAAAATAGGAAGCATAAATTGAAAATCTTTGTCTTATAAGAATAAAACGTGAAAGACGAATTGTGTAAAAATTATAACGATCAATGGATGTAAAAAAAGCTATTTATAATTAAACTTTACAATCGTGTCATTTAAAATTTTAATTAAGATATAAAAAATAAAAAAAAATAGTGTTACAAAGGACTTTTAAAAAGAATCACATTTTTAAATTAATTATTTTTCACTTTTTACTTATAAAAATATCGCAATGTATCTCACTATACTTATGCGTCCGACAGGCGCTCGTTTGGGACTCTTACAATCAAAATTGGGGCTCGTTACAATCTTGAACAAATACGAAGTTACACCGTCAAAAAAGACTTTGATACCAATGGTACTTGATCCAAGAGGAACCACGACAACGGCTCTCGGTGGCGGAGTGTATCTCAACTTGCGAAGATTGAATATTAGTACTTAGTAAAATTCATAAAATAATTTTATTATCTTTATGTTACCGATATAATATGCTCAACATTTTAAATACATAATTTTCACTAAAGTAACAATTAATTTTTGTCATTAATTACTCTGTATAACGCAATTTTTGTCACATTTATAACATTTGTAACATTTATCGCAATGTAGCATTTATTGAATTGTTAGCATAATTATTGGCATGCATCAAGGTTGCACAGATTATGCACGGTATAAAGATTTAAAAGTCTTTGAAATTAATATGCACATGCTGATATGCAAAAAGATCATAAACAATAAATCAATTTCTGGAATACAAAAAAAAAACAGTTTTTTATGTATTGCATTATAAAGTAATTACTTTGAAACTAACTGAAATAATCGATATAATTAATCGTCAATAATATATAACAACAAAAATTTTGTACATTTTATTAAATAAATAACTAAACACGTCAAATTAGCTTCGGCTCTATTACCTTATTTATTGAAGTTTTTGAGTATTAAACAATATTTTGTGAACCTTATTGTCAGATTTTATATATGCAGAAATGTATTTTGAATAGAATGATAAGAAAAGGCCATGCATTTTAACGTTAATCAAATTTATACACGTCATTAAAAGTCAAATGTACAACATGTGTATTAATACTTAAAAAATATCACTGTGAGAAAGATAAGATAACGTGAGAAACATGAGAGAGAGAGCGCAATGTTATATAATAAAAGATTAAAAAATTTTAAATTTTTATCAAATAAAAATTAGATATAATGTAATCATAAACGCATGCGTTCAATTCATGTCACAAGGTTACATAAACAAAGTTTCTTAAGATACTAGACTAACAATTATGTAATTAATCATTCAATACGGTACTTTATAAATATCGTAGATGTAAAACAGACATTTCCTAGTTAATATGCAGCATTATGCAGTCATAGGTTTATTTATATTGTACTTATAAAATCTCTCTAAACGTTCTATCTACTTGCATAAGATTAGCAGTCCCAGTTAAGAAATGATTATTTGCATAATTTATGTAATCAAAAAGTTAATGTAAATATGTACAAAAATCATTTTTAGTGCACATATCGCACATAGATTTTATTTTAAAACGAGAAAGTATCAAGTTGCATTGTTTAAAATAGTTCCTAAAATTTTATTTATTAATTATATTATTCATGAAACTTGATTTATTCTATCTATACAGGGTGTCCGGTAAATGCTGAATCACCTCTTGGGTGCAGGTAGAGCGGGTTAAACCGAGTAGAAAAGTCTTCTACCGTTTTGCGATTTTCGCAATAATTAATGAGAAATTAATTAAAGAAGATTGGCTAATTTGCGCGAATCTAAGCGCGCGGCGAGAAGAGATAGCACAAGAGATGTTACGTGGTCGCTAGGACGCATGGGATCTAGCCTTACGCACCGCTCGTATGTTGCCGTTGACACTTGTAGAACGCTCCTCCCAACGCTTTATCGCGCGCTTAGTGACCAAATAACAGTGGGCTGTACCGCCACGGGTCTCTTCTCGCAGCGCGCTTAAACTCGCGCAAATTGGTAGATATTTTTAAACTAATTCCTCATTAATTATTGTGAAAATCGCAAAATGGTAGAGGACTCTTCTACTCGGTTTAACCCGCTCTACCTACACCCGAGAGGTGATTCAGCAATTACCGGACACCCTGTATACTCAAAATTTCGAATCAATAAACTACTTATTTTTTTACATTGAACTTGCAAGTCATATAAAATAAAAATATGCAGATTTGATAAAATGTTTAAAAACAAAATAATACAGATAATAATTTATTATGGAAAGAAAAAGAGAAGCGAAAAACGCAAGAGAGAAAAACAAGATGTAACATATTATTATCGTATTATCGACGATTTTCTTGATTATTGCAATATACACAGTGCGGTCCATAAATACCCGGACTGATTTTTTTACGATAATACTAATAGCGCGATTTATCAGCCAATACTTGAACCATGTTGTGGTATCACTTAACGACCTTTGTGTGAAGTTTTAGCTCTGTATGATCAGTTGACGCGGAGAACAAGTGGTTTGTGTAAACAGTGTTTTAGGTAGTGTGTCACAAATTGCAAAATAGATGTGTGTAAGGAACAACGTGTCGCGATAAAATTTTGTTTTAAAGCCGATATTTCGGCAACTGAAGCTTTGTCAATGCTGCAAAAGGCTTATAGAGATAATTCTTTAAGGTCCGTTTATACATATCCGTACCGTATCCGTACCGTGTCCGTACCGTACACGTCCATGCACGGATGCTAGATTCGATTCCATATAATTAAATGTAAGTATTTACACTATTCCGTATCCGTACCGGAACCGCAGATGTCGTTGGCGACGATATTTTCACGGACCGGACGGCACTGAACGTGCCGGTACTAACAAGTGTAAATAGGCTTCAGTGTAGCGGTCAGATTTTTGAGTCTCATTTTGAATCAGTCCACGATATCGAGAGCACTCTTTTAAAATAAAAAAATGGATAACGAAAAATTAATTGAATTAGTGCGGCAACACATCGAGTTGTACGATTTATCCCATCCAAAATATCTTGATGGGAGTTATAAAGAAAAACTGTGGAAAAGTATTTCTAGAGAGCTTGATCAATCAGGTAATTTTACTCGTAATAAATATTATTTTACAAATAAATTTTTATGTTTATTATAAATATCATTTTATTTGATGAAAAAATACACAATTCTCTTCAAAAATTTATACATATGTAGGAACGTGTTTTTGCTAGTCGTTAATTGTCTATCGTATCACTCAGTGTGCTGTCCTTGTCCCGAGGTGTTTATATAATTCTGTTTATTAGACAGATCGTCAATCAAACTCAAGGCCTCAATTAAACGCCCATTAAATAACAGTCGATATTATTGTAATGATATACATGTAAGAGCCCCAGCTGAAGAGTTAAAAAATATCATAAAAGTTTCTCTTACTGCAAATGCTCTTTGCGTACTATTTCCACCACAAACACTTAAATTTTCCAATATTGTCTGCTTTTCAGTCCTATTAGTATTGTCTTCTAAATTAATATTATAATTATTGTCAGTTTCTTTAATAAAATTGTGTAACACACATGTTGCAAGTATAATAAAATCAGCATATTCGGGTTTGGCTTGAATTCGGCGATTGTAAATTCGAAAACGTTGTGTTAAAATACCAAACGCATTTTCACCTACCCTTCGAGCACGTGACAAGCAATAATTAAAAATTCTTTTATCGTCAACATTTAAATGTTTTCCGGGATATGGTCTAAGAAGATACGGTTTTAAAGGAAAAGCTTCATCACCAATTATAACATGAGGTGCTTCAATTTCAGTATCAGGCAGGAACGTATCACTCGGAACATTTAATGTTTTGTCTTCAAATCTTTTTCCCATCGCAGAATGTGCCAAAATGCCTCCGTCGCTGTTTTTTCCGTACGCCCCAACATCAACCATGATAAATTTATAATGGGCATCAACAAGGGCCATCAAAACAATTGAAAAAGATTTTTTATAATTAAAATATTCTGACCCGCTGTTAGACGGTGCTTGAATAATACCGTGCTTCCCATTCAGAGCACCTAAGCAATTCGGAAAATTCCACATCTCATAGAATTCTTTTGCAATTTTTTTCCATTTTTCTTGTGTTGGTAGTGGCATGACTTTAGGCATTAATTCATCGACGATAGCTTTGCATGTTTCATTGATTATTTGCCAAGCTGTTGTAACTCCAAGACGAAAACTAAATAAAATTGTTTTAAGAGAATCTCCTGTTGCTAAAAATCTGAAATATTGAATTAAAAATTTATAGCCTTACACAAAAGTTTATATCAATATATATTTCAAAATATATTTTGTTATTTTTTAAAACTTTTCTATTTATATTAATTATTGCTATATATATATTATTCTTAAAATTTTTTTCAGTCAGTATCTGTAAGACTTTCGCAGTTCCCAGCAAAGTCATCACACGCCTTCCTAGCATGCCCCGGATCCACTCGACGAGCTTCATCGGGACACCCCTTCTGGCGGCTTCCTCACACACTACCTCGTGCGGTGCGTTGTTAAAGACGCCCTCTATGTCCAAGAAAGCACCCACTGCGTAGCCCTTCCTTTCCAGCTGCTCCTTAATAAACGCTACCGTCTGATGTAGAGCAGTCTCGGTGGAATAGCCCGAACGATACGCGTGCTGATTTTTGTGGAGAGGGTGACTCCACAGAGTTGTCTCCCTCAGATACGCGTCCACCAGCTTCTCCAATGTCTTAAGAAGAAACGATAGGGCTAATTGGCCTGAAATCCTTTGCCTTGGTGTAGCTCGTTCTTCCCGCCTTCGGGATGAAAACTACCCTTGCCAGTTTCCATGCGCTGGGTGTGTAGCCTATCGCGATACAAGCCCTTAAGGTTCGGGTCAATGGGCCCACGATCTGTTCCAGTCCCTCTTGTAGAAGAGCCGGAAAGACGCCATCCGGTCCCGCTGACTTGTAGGGCTTAAAGGTGTTAATTGCCCACTTGACCTTTTTGGGCATGACAATCTTGGCCGCCATTCGCCAGTCCGCTTATCGGGCTCTTCTGAGTGAGCCCGGCTCCTTATATGCAAATAGCTCTCCCGGCTCCCTATGGAAGCCCGGAAAGCTCACTTCCAGTAGATGCTCCAGACATCGCTCTCCAGTCACCACCGTCCCATCAGGGAGTGCGATGGCTTCCAGAGTCGCATCCGGGTTCCTAGCGAGGATCCTGCAGATTCTTGCCGTTTCAGGCATTCCCTCTACTTCCTCGCAAAACTTCCTCCAGCTTTCCAGTTTCGCCCTAACCACAGAGTCTCTATATTCCTTCTGTGCCCTCCTAGAGAGCTCCTAGTCGGATTGGCGGTCCGTGTTCCTAGCTCTGTTCCAGACCCTACAAGCCGCCACTCTGAGACCCTGCAGTCCAGGGGTCCACCAGGAAGTTCCTCTATCATTTGTAACCGCCCTTTCGGGGCAATTACTTTCGTAGCAGTTTACCAGAGACCTCTGCAAGTAGTCCACACAGGTCTCCAGTTCGTCTTCTGTCCCGTGCCTCTTAGGGAAGCCTCTGAGACTGCTGGCCAGGTCTTCCCTATAGGAGTCCCACTTGGTTTTCCTCGGGTTCCTGAATTTGACCTCCTTCTCCCTAGCCTTAGCTATCCTGAAGGTGATCTGCCTATGGTCAGAGAGCGAGGGCTCCGTCGAGACCCTCCACTCCACTACCTCCTGTATCAACTGCCTGGAACAGACAGTGATGTCGAGCACTTCTCTTCTCGCTATAGTGCAGAAGGTGGGCTCGTCTCCTGTGTTGAAGATCTCCAGATCCGTAGATGCTAGGAACTTCAACACTTTTCTTCCTCTTTCGTTGGTGTCCGAGCTTCCCCACACGGTGTGATGCGCGTTAGCGTCACATCCCATGATCAGGGGAAGCCGTTTCTCCTGGCAGTATTCTGCCAGTTTTATCACCGGTGCAGGCGGCACCGCCTCCCCCTCGTCATGAGAGAAGTAGGCCGAGCAAATAACCATTTTCTTCCTGTCACCGGAGTCATCAGTGAAATTCACTTCTACAGCCGCAACGTCCCTGGAACACAGGTGAGGTATTAGCTGGT